TTGACCACCTCATCGACAAGAGTGCTTGGGTAAAGTGATTTTAATACATAAACGGGTTAAAAGTGTCCAAATCACCTAATTAAGTCAGAGATAAGGAGAATCATTTTTTCTTACACAACATTGTGAGACTTTGGAACTCTTTTGCTCAAAAAATGGTGAATGCAGTGTCTTTGAATGTTTTTAAGGCAGGGGTATCTAGACGGTTTTTAAACAAAGGGGTGAAAGTATATACTAAAATGTGGAATAATAAGAACAACCATGATCTTAATGTATGGTGGAGCAAGCTCTAGGAGGCAAATGGTCTACTCCTGCTTCTAATTCCTATGTATGGATGTGAGCTATTGTACAGAAAGTCACTGAGAATGCAGATGGACCCATAGTAGGTTTGTCCATCAGAATGTTGATGACCATACTCTTTTACTCAGTTTGGACAAAATAGCTGCACCTTTTGGAAAGCAAACATTGATTCCTGGTGACAGATTGCTGGCCACTGAGGAGCCGAGATATGCAAAGTAATCAACAACCTCCAGTGTCACATGATTAGTCTTGATTGATGATGGTGTGGTAACTGGACTGTGACATCTTTCTGATGCTGATGGTCAAACCAAAATGTTTACAGTCTGCCCATTTGCTTTTAGAGGTGCTCCTCGGTATGGAATTTTAGTGTGGCATCTATGTCACGGAGCAAATCCCACATTGAGGACATGATGCCCTTTTATCTCAGATCTTTGACAGGAAAAGGTGACCAGCTTTCCCTCAGTTCTGGCATGTAAACAGACTACCTTTATAAAATTGAAAACCATTTTGCCATTCCCACCTGTTTGAACGTGTTGACGTCATGGCAGACTAAACATAGAAACATAGAAGATAGGAGCAGGAAGAGGCCATTTGACCCTTTGAGCCACGATCATGGCTGATGTCCAGCTCAATAGCCTAATCCTGCTTTCTCCCCATAATCTTTGATCCCATTCGCCCCAAGTGCTATATCTAGCCACCTCTTGAATACATTCAATACATTCAACGTTTTGGCAATCAGAAGAAAGAACACTCAAGCAGAAAAAGATTATTGAGTTTTCCAGAGCTAACTCACAAATTTTTTCAAACTTTTGACAGTGCAAAGCAAGATATGTGATGTGAGCAAATTGGATAATTTAAAGTATTTGAGAAGATTTGTAGCTCGGGTTGTGGATGAGTTTGCGGACTTGCTCGCCAAGCCATTGGGTTTGGTTGCAAATATTTCATCACCCTGCTAGGTAACATCGTTAGTGCACCTCTGGTGAAGCTTCGATGTTCTGTCCTGCCTGTTATTTGTATGCCTCGGTTTTCTGGGGTGGTTGATATCACTTCCGGTTTTGTTTCTCTGTGGTTTGTACATAGGGTGTAACTCAATGTGTTTGTTGATGGAGTTCTGGTTAGAAAACCAGGCCTCCAGGAATTCCCTGGAATGTCTCTGTTTGGCTTGAACGATTATGGATGTGTTGCCCCAGTCAAATTCGTGTCCTTTGTTGTCTGTGTGTAGTGAAACAAGTGAGAATTGATCGTGTCTCTTGGTGGCTGGCTAGTATTCATGTATCCATATAGTCAGTTTTCTTCCAGTTTGGCCTATGTAGTGTTTCTCACAGTCCTTGCATGATATTTTGTATATTACTCCAGTTTTGCCGGTTTTGGGTATGGGATCCTTTAAGTTCGTCAGTAGCTGTTGCAGGGTGGTTGTCTGTTTGTGGGCTACTCTGATACCTAGGTGTATGAGTAGTCTTGTGGCCATCTCTGAAATGTCCTTGATGTATGGTAGTGTGATAAGTAATTCTGGTCATGTTGTGTCTTCCTGTTGTCTTCTGTCTTGGAGGTAATGGCAGATTGTGCTTTTCAGGTATCCATTTCTTTGGAAGACTGTGTATAAGTGTTCCTGTTTTGCTTTGCATAGTTCAGGGTTGCTGCAATGTGTTGTGGCTCATTTAAATAGTGTCCTGATGCAGCCAGCATCAGACTATCAGACTAGCAACCACCCCAATGCCCACAAACAGAGCTGATCAGGACACGACTTAAACAAATGGGACAGAACACCAATGCTTCACCAGAGGCATAGTGATGATGTTACCTCGCAGGGTGATGAAACGTTTGCAATCAAACCCACCGGCTCAGCGAGCATGTCTACAACCTCAAAGTGAATAATAAATATACTTTTCATGTATTTACGTGTGTGACCGTGTCACCATTTTTGTTTGATATACAGTGTGCTTTCAGAAAAATCAGGTTATGTAGTGCTTCCTCGGCTACCTTGTAGCTCCAGATAACATGAATTTGTGTGTGGGCCCCCTGCAATTTTACTGTACACTTGCTTGTATATTTTGAGAATGCAGTATTGCACATGGTGCTGTGAAAGTTTGTTCTATTTCACTTTCAAACTCTGCATGGGAATGCTGGAGACTACCTTTTCAGTCAATTAAGGAACCATTTAAAAACCGAAAGAACTGTGGATGCTGTAAATCAGGAACAAAAACAGAAGTTGCTGGAAAAGCTCAGCAGGTCTGGCAGCATCTGTGAAGAAAAAAATCAGAGTTAACATTTCGGGTCTGGTGACCCTTCCTCAGAAGGGTTTGAGGAAGAGTCACCGGACCTGAAACGTTAACTCTGATTTTTTTCTTCACAGATGCTGCCAGACCTGCCGAGCTTTTCCAGCAACTTCTGTTTTTGTTCTTGTAAAGAGCCATTTGCTCTTATCTAAGCAGGCAGTACACTAACATTGATAAAAGTCTAGCTCTTCCAGGATTGCATCCCAACCATGATGCTAGATGATTGTGTGCAGTCGTGGGTGTTACTAGCTCAATTGTATGGATGACAAGTGAGTGACGCCAATGATGTGGGTTCAATTCCCATACCGACTGAAGTCATCATGAAGGCCCCACTTTCTCAATCTTGGCACTTACTTGAGGTGTGGAGCTCCTCAGGTTAATCTTATCACCAGCTGTCTCTGTAATGAGAGAGCAGTACTATGGTCCTCCAGGACCTTGGGAAATATACTTTATTCTACGAAAGATGTGAAAGTGTTGGAAAGAGTGCAGAAGTGGTTTACAATAACGGCCCCAGTAATGAGAAACTTCAGTTGTAAGGATAAATTGAAGCAGTCAAGACTATTCTCCTTGGAGAAAATTAGACTGAGAGGGAACTTAAAAGAAGTTTTCAAAATCATAAGCAGGCATGGTTGAATCAATAGGCAGAAGTTGTTCCCGCACATAAAATGAACAAGAATAAGAACGTAAATTAAAGTGATCTGCAAAAAAAGCAAGCGTGATGTGAGAGAAACTTTTTCACACAGAAAGCAGTTAGGGTATGGAATGCACTGCCTGGAAATATGGTGGAGGCAGACTCAATTCAGGTGTTCAAGAAGGCATTGGATGTTTATTTGGATAGAAATGATGTGCAGGAGTATGGGGAAAAGGCAGGACATTTGGCTTGGGGTAATAGAATTGATGCAGTGCCAATGGGCTGAGTGGCCTCTTTCTACACCATAACTATTCTATGATTCTATGGAATTCAAGTAATCTCCCTCCTTTTTCATTTATCTTTGTTATCTATGTCAATGTGGAACCTAGCAATCTCCACGTGGCTATTGCCAACCAGCTACAAGTTTATCTGTCAGTACTCCCAAGGTCCTGGTGTACTAATTTACAAACTGAAGAAATGGTACTTTTAATCTTTTCATTTGCTTGTCAGCCTGATGCAATGCAAGTGATTTGCTGTACAAAGCCTCTAAGCTCCAAGCTTCCCATGAAATAGGTAGACATCAATGGGTCAGCGCTTTAATTTTTGAGGGTCTAGCTTCTAATGGTTAGCGGCTGACCAGTGGGAATGCTAACAGTTCCCACTGTAAGAGGCGTTCCACAACATCCATTATTATGCCACTTGAATTGAGTTTATCATTTGCAATTATTGCTTCCCACATTATGTATCCAACAAGCTGGTTTGATATGTCTAGTGTGCGGCTAAAGACAGGTAGTTTCTTACTGCCATTGTGCTAACTTGCTTTTCATTTTCAACCTACACCACTGCTTGCATGACATGAAGAAGAGGGTCAAATGGGTCTCTCCCTGAGAGTACATAGACTCTCCATCCCCAGATTGTGTCTCCCTTCGTGGTGACACACAGAAAGTGGTTTCCTTGCGATCCATGGTAAAACTTCAGAGGATCTCAAGGAGATTTTTCCTCCAAGCATTCAGTGCGTAAGCGCATTCTGGAGCTCAGGGAAAAATATTCCCAGCAATGGCAAATAGCTGCATAGGACAGATAATGCTGACAGGAGTAAACCTGACAAAAACAATCTAGAGTGGAGACCAAAAGCAGATTGATGCCTAAATAATCCTGCATCTTCTGCAGCCAGGTTGGCACCATGGTACTCTGCATCCCCTTGGAACCTCCCAGTGAGGTTGAGAGGGACAAATATGCACAACTCAGGCACACAGTAAACTTTGTCCATTCTTACAATCTGAATAGGACACACCAGTTTTGCTGCAGAGTGATCTCATAAAAAGGGGAAACTGAAAAAAGTCACATCTTTTAATGGTGCTTTGAAGCATGTCATACCCATTTTGTATTTGGCGATTTGATTAAGTCCAATGCCCAAATAACAAAACCTTAATGCATAATTCATGTGTGCAGCCAAAGGGCAGTGAGGAACATGGACCACAAAACATGATCATGAACAGGCTACAAGAGACATCCATCAAAAAGCTGTTCTTATTAAGTTAGGACATTGTGGATTAATAGTCTTGGACAAATTTCAAAACTCATTCAGAAAAGGGACAAAAGTTAATGTAAAACGTGATGATCAATCAGAGTAAGGAAACAATACCATAAGAGGACAGAGTATCAGATAAATAAAGAAGTCGGGGCAGAAGAAATAAGATATTCAGATTTAATAGAAATATCCAGTCAAGTAGGAGTTTGAGACCAGAAATATATTTAGATCAGTCAATGAAAGCAGGTCCCATTTGTACAGAAGAATCAATAGAGAGTGAGTGAATCAATTGGCTCTAGATTCGTGAACAGTCTGGGAGGCTGAAGCTGATCACTTGTGAGCTGCAATGAAGTATTTGGTGTCTGTCCTGGCAACTGGCCTGCTACTGTCTTTCTTTACAAACTCCATAAACGCTGAAGAAGAGCATGAGATGAAGAAGCTGTGTGGCCGAGACTTTGTCGAAAAACTTCTTCAACTCTGTGTGAGCATGAGAGCTCGCATTTACCATCCCTATGGTGAGTATTGACCTCTCTTGACGATATGAATCAGGTGTATTTTTGAATTTCACTCCTAATGAAGCATACCATGATTTTATTGATCCATGGGGCAGCAAAACACTGATCAGTTTAATTCCATGACTACTCATTTTGCCTAAATGAGGAGGGTGATCACACGCTGGCCTCCTCTCCCTCAACATAGCATCAATTCATTTAAAACCAAGTAAAACTAAGAAACAATACAAATCCAACTTCTACCCACAGCATTTATCCATTTCTTTTGCATGATCTGTATGCTTATCGTTCTTGCCTTGTCAATCCACTCCCTATGCAAAAGAAACACAGAAAGTAAGTGCAGACATGGGCCATTTGGCCCTTTGAGCCTGCCCCATCATTTAATAAGATTATGGCTGAGCATCCAACTCAGTAACCTGTTCCCACTATCTCCAATCATAAAATAATTCCATAGAAGCTGTTTGGGTAACTCAGGCTGTCATATGTAATACCTTACACGGCAATAATAATTTGCATAGAAATGTGCTTCCACTCACCAATACTTTTGCTCCATTAAAGTCATACTTAGATTTCCTCATAAGCAGTCAGTGGTTCCCCCTTCATGAATAATCAATACTTCTCTTTAATTAGGAGCCAGTATATCAGTATTCACAGGGGAATTTGGTCATAATAATTTGCTGGAATTCCTGTCCCATATGTAGATTGCAATTCATTGTCCCCAAGATTTTTTTGTCAATCCAATCCCCATTAATCCTCAGTCAAAGATGGGCCTTATTATTACAATGTGTCAATTGCTAATACTAAACTTGCACTGCCTACTGGTTTGCTTGATAGCTGTGCGTTGTCAGTTGAATGCACTCCTTAATGTCTGAATGTTTCAGCAGGAGGTCCAAATTTGTTTAAACTGGTTGAAGAAAGTCCGATCTAGAAAAACAATGAATGAGGTTCCAACATTGCAGAAAGCAAGCTCCAGGTTTCCCTGATGCTGCAGAGAAAGCCTGGTGGAAGTGGTGGATAAGAGGACTACTTTTCACTGCACCCAGTGATCCTGAATCCTCTTCAGACAAATTCTGTGAAGGCAGCAAAGTAAGCAGCTGGTTGGTGATAGCCAGCAGTCGAAACCCAAGAATCTGAATGAGCACACAAATGTTTCAGGTCAGGTAATCCACCGGAGGAACATAAAGACATAAAAACAGAAGTAAACCATTTAATCTCTCTGTTATTTAACAGTAAAGTAGTTGATCTGTGACGTAACTCCATATACCTGCCTTTGCCCCACGTCCTCTAATACTTGTAGTTTGCAATAATTTATTGAGCTCAGTTTTAAAATTAAAACTTGAAATTGTATCAATTGCAGTCTGCAAAGGAGAATTACAAATTCCCATCACCCTTCACTGAAAGATTTACTTGCTGATTGTGCTGCTGAAATGTCTGGGTTCAGTTTTTTGACAATGTCCCCTAGGCCCAGACTCCCAAATTATGGAGATTGGATGAAACTATCTAATCCCTTTAATATAACGAAAACTGAACAAATCCTTCCTTAAGTTTTTAAATTCTATTGATTACAGTTTCAGTTAGTTTAATTTCTCCTGTGACTTAAACTTTATAGTCTGTGTATTATTTTGATAAATCTATTCTGCACTCCCTCTAAGTTCAATATATCCATCCTAAGGGCTAGTTTCCAGAAATGCTCACAGTGCTCCAGGTGCATTCAAACTGGGGCCTTGTACAGCTAAAAAAATAACTTTTACTCTATTTGTATGCTAATTTTCTAGATACATATGCCACAATAGAAGGTGCATTTATCTTTTTGAAAATTACTGAAAATAAACCAAAAAAAATGAATGACATTGTGGCTGAAGTGGTGGCAGATAACTGAGGCTTTTTTGGATGACTTCTTGCTTTTCTACATTGAAATCCATTTGCCAGTTTTTCCCATTCACTTGATCTATCTATATCCCAACATCTCATTGTAATTTTGCACTTCCATCTACACTAGTTAAAATGCTACCTAGGTACAGTGAACAGTTGAGGTCCCAAAACAGATCCATGCAGCACACCACTATCACATTTTGCTAATCAGAATATCTGCTCATGATTCTTAATTGCTGCATCCTATCACTCAATCGATTTGCTAAACAGATTAATATTTTGCCTTCAATTCCATGAGTTTCAATTTTAATTGAATGTCTGTCATAGGAGCATTATTAAATACCTTCAAAATATTCATACAAATAACATCCAAAGACATTCCCCTGTCCACTATTTAAGTCACTTCTTCAAAAATATTCAAATATAAGGTACCATTTATAAATTCCTGCTGGCTTTCTCTGATCAACTGGAATAGTGAAACAGACAAACAAAGGTTGGACATTTGAAACAAACACATAGAATGCTGGAGAAACTCAGATGGTCTGACAGCAGCTTTCGAGAGAGAAGCAGAGTTGTTTTGAATATATATCCACTAGAGTTTAGAAGAATGAGAAGCCTTCTTATCGGGACATATTCCTGAGGGAATTGAAAAAGCCTATACCAAGAGGGTGCTTCCTCTTGTAGCACAGACTAACAACAGAAAATATGGTTTAAAAGTAAGAGGTCTCTCTTTTAAGACAGAAATGAGAACTTTTTTTGTTATCTCAGAGGGTCATTCAACTGTGGACTTCTCCTCTCCAGAATGCTGCAGAGGATGAATCATTGAATTCATTCAAGATTGAGATAGTTGGATTTTCAACAGACAGGAAGATGAAGTTTTTACCACAAATAGATCGGCCATGATCTTATTGAATAGTTGTGCAGACTTGTAGGGCAGAATGGCCTACTCCTACTACTATCATGTTGCTTTACACTGGAAAATTCTAGGAACAACATAAAATTCCACGTGCAACATCCTGGCCAACTGTTGTCTGGAGGGAAATATTGCAGAAGATTGTGGGTCTCTTCTCAACACCCTTCCATATGATGATTTTTTTTTTCCTTCTTTTAAACAGTGAAGGCATATTTCCTTTACTCCCTCTGTTGATGGGTACTCACTTTTCAAGAACCATGACACTCTGGTGAATCTAAGAAACAGAAGTTAATGCTCTGCAATCTCAAAATGCTACATTCAAAACAGCTGATAGTTTCAATACAGTGGGAGTCATGTGACCAAGCCTCCTTAAAGAGGAGAAGCAGTTATTCCTGAGACAAAGGCTGGCATTGCAGGTAGCCAACAGTCCATGGCCCATTGCTGAGTTAAGTGAAAGTCATCAACACATCTTTTAAGATGGATGTAACTCGTAATTCTATAGTAGAATGGTTTCTCATGCAGATGAACATTTCTATTGCAGGTTATAACAGAATAGTAATCATCTCAGATACATCAGCATATACCTGAGTGTTAATTTTCATTTTTCATTTCACATTTCATTTTCAACTTACTTTGAGAGGTTTCAATAACATTACAGCTGACATCCTTTTAGCCTGCTCACTGTTCTTTTAAAGCAGTCACTAAATTTACATATATAGATATGTATTAAAAACTATTTTCAGTCACTCTGATAACGACAAAATTGTTATTGTTTTCTTGCTTGTTTTAGTTTTGTTGACTCCCTTACCCTGAAGCATTAATCATTTCCTTGAGATTTCTGACATGCTGAACTCTTCCACTCGTGTAGATGCTGACACAAATTAACTGTTTTACGTTTCAGCTCTTTCCTTATTTTCATTCAGAAGAAAGTCATTCTTAGCTACCAAGTAGGCCACATTGCTTCTGGCCATTCTTAATGCAATTGTTAAAGTTTTCTGAAATCCCTTGCAAATTTTCTTTTTTTGAACATGTTTTTGGAGACCTTACTGTCTGTTTTGTTGTCCTTTGCTGTTCTTTGTCTCATTTCTATATTTAAGAATCTATGTTCTGACTGGCAATTTAATTTTTTCTTTCATTTAGTTTGATTGTATCTTTTACTCTTTAGCTGACCATATTTGCTTTTTAATATATAGAGCTCAAACCCTTAAGGTGTAAAATGGTTTTGTTTCAACTTATTTTTTTGAACACCTCACACTGATCTTCTGCAGTTTTAAACATTAAGCATTGCTCAGTTTACCATGGGATATCCCTGTTTCATCACCGATATCAGCCTAAGCTAACCTAATCTTAGCAACTGTTTCATATGTCTCCCTTTCAAACTCTACATTAAGCTCTTTAGCATTTGGTAGATAATTGCTTTATTGAAAAACCATCATGGCACAAGTGCCAAATTTTAATGATACAAATAAAACAAGTCATAAATTTATAGCAAAATTGTAGACCATTGTTAAAATAAAAATAAGGTGCAAAGTAATAACTAACAAAAGAATTGTTTTCAAACCTGAATTTTCACCCCTCTTGCACTGCCCCACATCACCCACCAAGTTTACTTGTTTAAAATTCATTAAATTGCACCATCTATCCTTTTCACTTAAATTCTGAGGGAAAATCAAAAATGAGACAACTTTTAAAATGTGAAAATTAGATTTTCTTTTCTTGACATCAAGAAACTAATTTCTTTTCATTTTCACAATATTCTCCCAACATTCTTACCATTGTTCATACCATTCAGAGGCTGGAAAAATTCCACCCCGTCATTAAATTGAAGCTGACTCCTCAGTAGGCCTGTTACCTGAGAAGAAACCTTTTGGTCTTTAAAAAAACTTTAATTATGCATGTCTGAATCCTTGCCTCGGTCTGCTATAAACGCAAACTGCTGTTTAAGATCTCATTCTGCTAAAAGTTTAGCTGATGGCATCACAACCAGACTCCAGGCTGGACTAACCTTAAGAAACTCATCTCTTTTGAAACCTAGTTTTAGAAGAGACGTTTTAATTTATCCAAAATATGAACAAAGTCCATGCATCAACATCACCTAGCTGAGCTTTTATCAAATTTAAATGCAATGTGTGCGAGTAGGTTCTTGCTTAAGGAGATTATGTTCCTTGTATGTGTAAGAGACAAAAGGGAGAAAGTGATGTGACAAGGGGTAGAAGGTCGAGCACATTACATATCGATTTTTGGTGGGATAATGGGAGATCAGGACAACAAGGGACAATGATTCTTATTTGCTTTTCGGGATATGGATGTTTCAGTATCATCACAGGAACTGCAACAGTCCATGCCAGTGAGGGTCAGGATCCTTTCTCTCCATAACGGGTGAGCAGTTGAATCTTGGGTGACTCAAAACATGTGTAGGCTCATTCAACCCATTATGCAACTTTATGACCTTGGATGTGGCTGGCAGGGTCTGGTGCTATTGCCACCTCCTGCATTGCTGGGGAAAGAGGATGGTCCTCCTTCTGCACCGCCCTGTCCACTTGGACTTCCAGGTCCCTGTCCACAAAAACACGATACTGATGTTCTTTTATCTGACATGCCTTGGCAAATCTCAGAAACGGTGTAATGGCTAGTATCTTGGGTATCGTAAACAGCCAAATGGGTCTTGTGACAAGTAACTCACCTCTTCACTGCCGTAAGCCTGTCCATCATACATAAGGAACAAGCCAGGAGCATGATACTCCTGACTTGCCTGGATGAGCACAACTCCAACAACACTCAAGAAGTTCAATATCATTCAGGACTTCTAAAAGAAACAAAAAGTTAGGTGAATTGGTCATGCTAAATTGCCTGTAATGTTCAGGGATGTGTAGAATAAGTGGGTTACAGGGGAATGGGTCTGGATGGGATGCTCTGAGGTTCAGTGTGTACTCGTGAGGCCAAAGGTCCTGTTTCCACACTGTAGGGATGCTATGATCTTCTATAAAGTATCCTGTTTGTTTCGCACTGCACCACAAATATTTGTTGAAACATTTGGTGCCTCTATCATTATTTCACCTTCTATATTGAGTTAAACCTGTGGTCTTATCCACCATTGGCACCTTGTGTTATCAACCACCTCCACCAGCATTTTGTTCAGAATAACTGTTATTTCAGATAGTTCACTGTCACCAAAACTCCTTTATTTGTGCTTGTCTGATGATCAGTGGTAGATAGTATACCATCGTTGAGTTTTGCTCGCAGAAAAGGCACTGCTGTTAACCAACAAGGTAGTTCATTGCATCATAGCAATAAATACAACTATGTTACAAGTCAGGCATAATTACAAATACTCACTCAAGCTGTACTGAACATATATGCTCCTGCAAAGTCTAGAGCAGAACTCACTTTCTCCATCCACAGACTGTGTGTGTGTGAGTGACATTGGCAGAATGGAGATTAATATACCCTGAATGTTAGTTCCTTCAGGGCCATCATTTTATACAATAGAACCTTTCTTTATTCTTTCCCAACCCTTTGACCTCATAAATTAGAAAAATCCACTATTGGTCTAGCTGCTTATTAAATCCCAAATGCCCATTGCCCTCACCATGCTGTTATCAACTGGCAAGTTAAAAAGGAAAACCTCAAAGCACATACACTATGAAGTGCAGTCTTCAGAGTGGTACTAATCATTTGAATGAAATGGATTTTTTTGAGGATAGCAGAAATGATTAAACTTACCTCCATATTTATTTATCACAACATATCACTTCAGCCACATATCTCTTGCAGCTCAAGATATAAGCTATACAGTATGTAACATAGCACAATTACTCTGTGCAGTTATTATATATAATGTTACCAGGAACCTAATGCAAACCATCAACAACATTAGAATTATTTAATATTCCAATGAGCAATCGATGCTTGCAGAGATAATTGGTTTGTGTTTTTAGGCTGTAATGTCGTAGCTGTATTTCTGCCTCAACTTCCTGTGAGTGCAGCAACCTTGAAGAAAATACAAGATATAACATTGTGACTACTTTGACAGGTTTAATGATGGTTTTGCCTTGTGAATGTAGTTCTTAGCATTTTGAAGGATGCTGATGATTAGTACAGAAAGCAGACACATTCAAAATGAAAATGTATACTTTCCAAGAGTTACTTGCCACCCTTTTGCTCAGTCACTGATGGATTGATGGAAACTGTGTGTGTGCAATCATTGCTAGTTGGCATTTGAAAGATGCAATGCAACTCAAACATTTACAGTTGGTCCAGCCTGTTGACACCTTAAATGGTCATAAACACTGAACAGTGCATTGTTCCCTGGTTGATCCAATAGTGTATTGCATATGGTCATTTCTAATGCTGACTGTTGCCTGAATATGACGCAGAGTCCAGAATATATCTACTTTCTAACGGGCAGATCAGAAGCTAACAGTTGTGAGCAAGGGAAAGAATGTAATACAACATCAACAATCCGTCAATGTAAACAAATGGAGTATTATTTCTGTTGCAGATCCTTTCCAGCCCTCAGCTGATAATTCCGTCTTCAAGGAGAGGATATCCGACAGAAGCAACATTGACCAGCTTGGATCAAATTATGGACAGCACCCATTTTTTAGAGGCCGCAACCACTATGAGCGGACACCAGATGATTTCAATAAGTTTAGCTTTCACCCTGATGGTTACAGAAATATGCATCCTGCCTTTCCACATATGTCACACCATCCAAAATTGAAGGGAAGACAACTGGAAATTAAATGCTGCAAAGTTGGCTGTACCACAAATGAAATACTTCAGAGGTGCAAACAATGAAATAATGTAAACCGTATCTCTGTATTTCTAGAAAATTCTGTACACATGCGTTCAAATCCATTAGATGTTAAGACAGGTAGGGTACATTTTAGGAATTTAAGCTCCTAACAAGATCCTAAATCTACCGACAGTTGGAGTAGGAAATTAGCCTACAGGGGTCAGCAGACACTGCAGGATTTTCTGTTCGTAATGATTGGAAAGATCTGCACAGTTTGACGATCTCACAATAGTTGCTGAAGGGGAAGTTCTATGCAGGGAGCACAATTCATAAAATTCATTCTGAGCTCCATACAAAATAATTCACAAGCATGGGCACTGCCAAGCACTTGTAGTCGCATATAATCTTAAAAAATAAGAAGAAAAATCCAACTATGAATGTTTTATTGTCATCCTGTGTTTTATCAAAAACAATTCTGTTAACAGCTTATTGATGGAGCGTGATCACTGTTTGCTTAGAATGTCTGGACATTTCTCTCTAACATCAGCTGAAGAGATTCAAGGGTCAGAAAAGGGAGGTTGTCCACTACAACAACAACAACTTATCTTTTATGGTGAATTTAAACTGGAAACAAAAGTGTTCCAAGGCATTTCTGGAACAAGAATTGATCCTGAGTGGTAAATGGAAATACTGGGAGGGGTCAGTAATAACTTAACAAACAAGTTGGTTTTAGGAATACTCTTTACAGAAGAAATGGAAACGGAGAAGCAGAGTGACCCTGTGTGTGTGTGGATTTGGCTGTTTTGAAGGTGCATTGCCATGAATGAGGAAAAGGAGAGATAAGAAAGAGGCTTGAGACAGAGGAATAGAGAGCTCGGAGATGATGGGATTTGTAGGGTTGTTGGACACTACAGGTGACAGGGAGTGGCAAGACCATGAAGACATATACCACAAAGAGGGGAGTGATAAATTGGAAGTGTTGGGGGACCAGGACCCAAATTAGTTCAGTGAGATACAGGGTCAATGGACTGACTGCGATTCCTACCTCCTTATCCAGTAAAGTGGGAACAAGGGGGAAATGAAGACTCGGCAAGTCAATTTAGCTGGCAAATGTTTGCATGTCTTATGGTTCTTGAAACTGCAGAAACTACAATTTATGAGGGATAATTCAGGGTATGGCTATCTAAAACAACGTCTGATTCCAGAATCCAAAAAGTGCTGGAAGACATGGGTGAACTGCATCATGTTGAGGGGGGATTTTCAATTTATATCCATTGTGACAGTATAGAGCATTATCTATCCTCTTTTGAAGAAATTAATTTGGAACCATTGTGGCCAGAAGGTTTTAGAAAGTTGCCAACTTTTTTTGCAGAATCTTATAGAAGCAAGGATTTTAAACATGGGAAGTCTTTTGGCTCAAAACCCCCAAGTAAGACTTGCAAAATTTGTATTTCCCTTTAATAAAAACAGAAAGTGCTGAAGACACTTAGCAGGTCTGGCAGCATCTGTAGAGAGAGAAACAGAGGTAAGGTTCAAATCCATAGGCTTTTCTTTGGAACTGGGTTCTAACTGTGAAGGAGTACATGGCACTGAAAACATTTACTTGACTTCTCCCTCCAAAGAGGGTGCTTGACCTGAAGAGTTTCTCTAATATTTTCTGTTTTTATTTTTGTTCTCCTCCCTCTGCAGCATTTTGCTTTTATTTGCATCTCCCATTCCCTGATTGTAGCTGCAGATTACAAGCAAGGAGGCACAAAATAAAACCTCTAAATGTTGGTTGGATGCAGGAACACGGCAGAAAGGAAGCAAAGTGGCAGTTGTGAACACATCATCTGACCTTAATTACTATATAACCAGAGACTCCTGTCTCTAATGGCATGAATGCAAATGCCACTTAGATGAAGATATGTCTGAAAATCAGAACAGGCAGGAGCAAACTGATAGATTAGCACCTCCACCTATTAATGAAAGCAAAATACTGTGAATGCTGGAAATCTGAAACAAATACAGAAAATGCTGGAGAAACTCAGCAGATCTGGGAGAATCTGTGGAGAGAGAAGTAGAGTTAATGTTCAGAGTCCAGGATTCAAAACCTCCACTCATTAGTTTGTATTGGTTCAAGCAGCACTGATGAAATTAAAATCAACACTTGGGAGGCCAGAAAACACATATTTTTGAAATTATTCTCCTATTCTTCTTTACTGAAGTATTTCCTACATATGCCTGAGTAATACAGCTCAGAATGGCCTTTGGAGCAGTCATGGTGCCAGTTATCAGGATTAAGATGTTACAATTTGCAGCAATTAGTTCCAGACAGTAATATGGGTAGGCTTTCCACCAGGTTCTCCTGTTCTCTTAATATTACTTGACCGACCAACAATAATGTTCTGTAAACATATCGGGATTGCTGAAGATAACAGCCTTACATTGTGCTAACAGTCAGGATCTGATTAAAAGCAGCCCAGAAATTTACAATAAAGGGCTTAAATCTCACTGGTCTACTTGCCAAAGCTGTTGTTAACATTTGTGCAGTTTTCCACATATGATAATTAAGGTAATACATTCAAAGGCATTGATAGTCATGTTATCATGTGAATTAAACTAAGGCCACACTTTAAGAACTAATTAAGGCATATCTGAGCAGGACTTCAAATAACTTTGCAAGTGCCAGCAATCCAAGCATGCGTTGATCATTACTGATTAAAACAGGGATAAAGTGTGCTCAAAAAGAACTGGGTATTAAATGAATGTTTCAGATAGCCCAGATGGTACAAGATATCACATTGAATAGGTTAATTACTTCAATAAAGCATCACTCTACAAATGTTTCTATCTTGTGCTATAAGTGTCATTGGTCAATATGTGTATAATCATGAAATTCCACTTTAATTGTAATCAGTTCAATCATCATATAAATACATGGAACATATTGGGTTTGGATGCAAAATCAGGCTCCCTAAAATACGTCCAACAATGGGATTATAATTCAAATCATTATAAGAACAAAGCCATTCAGAGCCAATGAAAGGTCAAGTGTGTTATTTTTTTAAAAGGTATCTATTGTCTCAGCACCAGGAAAATTAAGATAATTGCCTATGATAATTGGTCTATGAATAGAAAAATACATTTATAGGCCAAAATTTGTGGAGAGGTGTGAAGATTGAGTTGGGAAACTTCCTGACCAGGCTGACCCATTTCCTTTTATGAGGACTTCTGCTCACCATATTTTCATCTTGGTGAGAGACGGGGCAAAGGCAGGAGGGAATTAAGCCTGCTACTGCCTAAAGTAGGCCTAATATAACATCAGAGACAGGGAAGAATGCTTACATCTGTTTACTCTGATCTGGCTCAGTGTTATTGAAAAATGTCAAACCCTCACCATTTTCCTCCATCCACCTCATTATTCCTCTCAAGCCCACCCCCATGGCATCTCCATGCTCCTGATACAGGTGAAGTCACCAGAGTTTGAGCAGATTATTGGGCTGCTCTCTCACCACAACTGTTGGTGGTTTAACTTGAGGGTCACCATGCCACAGGCAAGGACGAGGATGAGAACGAAAACCCTTCATTGGAATCTGTTTTGTGCGGGATTTGAAGCCACGTTATTGGTCTCACTCTACATTGCAAACCAGCCATTCAGCCAACTGAGCAAACCAACTCCATGATACCTGTATGACAGCTCAATTTCCCCCATCTTTCTCATTGTGCACTCTCTGTAGCTATTCACTTGGTATCCACTAGGGGCAGATATCATGATATCTTAGAAGTGGATACTAGTAACAAATAAACTTCTTAAAATTTAATGGAGCTATCAATTTCAAAAAGACTTCATACTTAAAAAAAGTCCTATCCCTGCAGTCCATCTAAAAACTGTAAATTTTCTGAAGTGTTGATCTGTTATAAGACAAATGCCACTTCCAGCATCGAAGGTTTTTAGCTGCTGAAAACTATTTATCGAATTGTGAACACAGCCCTACCCCTCTTGTTGAGGTAAGTGATTTTGGACAACTTGAAACTCAGCAAAACAGAAATTCACCAGAGATTATTAGACAGCACTTTCCAAACCCACAACCACTTCCATTCAGAAGGACAAGGGCATTAGATACATGGGAACATCACCATGTGCAAGCTCCGCCCCGACCAAAACCACTCACCATCCTGACTTGGGAATATATTGCCACTCCTTCACTGTTGCTGGGTCAAAATCCTGGAATTCCCACCTTAAGGGCATTGAGGGTCAACCTAAAGCACATGGACTGCAGCAGTTGAAGAAGACAACCCATCACTACTTTCTCAAGGGCAGCTAGTCATGGGCAATAAATGTTGGCTAGCCAGAGATACCCATGTCTCATGAATGTATTAAAATAACATAGTAGCTCCAGATATTAGCATAAAGCCTACCAAATGTCAAAAATAGCATCCATTGAAACTGAAATGCCAGATGGCCTTATTTGTAAGTGACAGCAACTATTTGCATTTCCAAGAGGTTTGATACCATCTGGGACAGAGTAGCAAAAAGCATCCACAAGCATCCAACTATTCTATCACCAGAGCTCAGGGGCAGCAGTGCATATTATTTGCAAGATGCGCTGCAGAAATTCACCAAAGTCCCTGAGACAGCACCTTCCAAACACAAGGCCACTTCCATGTAAAAGGACTAGGTAGATTGGAACACCACTACCTGCAAGTTCCACTCCAAGCCACTCACCATCCTAACTTGGAGTTAGGGAAATTAATGATGGAGAATAAGGAAATGGAGAATGAATTGCACAGATATTTTGCCTTCTGCTGTAGAAGGTAAAAATAACATTGCAGAAATAACTAAAAATTAAGAGACGAAAGAAAGTCACAGATTGCACGGTGGCTCAGTGGTTAACAGGTTGCCTCACAGCGTAGGGACCAGGATTCAATTCCAGCCTTAGGTGATTGTCTGTGTGATGTTTGCATGCTCTCCTTGTTTCTGCTGGGTACTCCAGTTTACTGCCACAGTGCAAAGGTAGCAGGTTAGGTGCATTAGCCATGGTAAATTACTCATAGTGTCCACTGATGTGTAGGTGAGGTAGGTTAACCATGGTAAAGGTAGGTTTGTGGGGTTAGTGCAACGGGCTGGTTCTGGGTGAGATACTGTTCGGAGGGTCGGTACACACTTGATGCCAATCAACCTTCTCCTGCACTGCAGGGATTTTAAGTGATGGAGGATCATAAAACAACTTTAATCACCAGGGAAAAAATATTGAGGAACTTATTAAAATTAAAAGTTGACAAGTCCTCAAATCCTGCTAATAGATGAATTGGTCTCAATTTTTCAAAATTCCCTAGATTCCTGAATGATACCAACCATTGCTCTTTGTTCAATTTTAGAGTCAACTTGTATTTGTGAAAGGGAAATCATGTTTAACTACTTAATTAGAGTTCTTCGAGGTTGTGACAAGCAACATTGATAAACGGTAACCTATGGATGTCCTATAATTTGATATTCTGAAGGCATTAGGTAAGTGTTACATCAAAGATACTAAAACTATATAAGAGCTCATTGGCAAGGAACAACACATTGGAAGGATTGAGGATTGGTTAGCTAACATGAAACAGAGAGTAGGCATAAATC